CCCTCCAGCGGGCTCACACACCCACCAGCGGGCTCACACACCCACCAGCGGGCTCACACCCCTCCAGTGGGCTCACACATCTCCAGTGGGCTCACACATCTCCAGTGGGCTCACACATCCTCCCCGCTCTTCCCGTTGACTCCTGACCTGTGAAGCCAGGGTGGCAGAGGCAGAAGAAGGCTCCTGAGAGATTGATGCAGCTGGCTCCCGTGGGGCAGGGGTCACTCAGACACTCATCCACCTCAGTCTCACAGTGTGGTCCTTCAAAGCCTGTGTCATAGGCGAGGGTCAGAGACTGCACCAATGGCCCCCTCCCCCAGGGTCTGAGCCTCAGTTTACCTGGGAGACACTCGCAGTGAAAGGCTCCAGGCTGGTCTCGACAGTGCCCCCCATTGGCACAGGGGGCACTGCTGCATTCATCCACGTCTTCCTCACACCTGGCACCAGTGAAGCCTGGCGGGGGAGGGGGTGGGAATGGAGGGTGTTCACGGTCATGCAGGGAGGCGCAGCATGAACAAAAATGAGTCTTGGAGGAGACTCAGGGTACTTGTAGGGCAACAGAAGCGATATAGATAGGGTGGATAGGGTAGCGCTCAGCCCCTGCTGGCTATGATGCCGCTGGGCTGTGGGCAAGCTACCCAGCTTCCCTCTGGTTCTCACTTCTCCCTATGAAAGAGCTAGAGTGTAGTAATGGCGCCTGGGCTGGGGTGTGGCTCAGAGGTAGAGTGCTTACCTTAGGCACTCATGCCTCCGTCCCCAGCACTGAAACAAAGAAGCTGTCTCATGTTAGCATGGGGAGGAGACATTCTCTGTGTCTATGGCAGCCCAGCCAAAGCCAGCCAGTGACCCGAGGTGCAGGGGGGTACACAGAGGGAAGGAGAGTGACTTGTCAGGGCAGGGGTGAGGGTGGGGGAATGAGCGAGGGAGGATTTAGGGCTGTGATGGAAGAGTCTGGGGAGCTGAAAAGGAGTGGGGGAACAGGCTGCTTTAGCCGAGCGGGAGGGGCCTTCAAAGAGATGCTGGCCTCTGGAGGTTCCCTGGACCGGTCTCTTCGCCTACCCGGGAGGCAGATGCACAGGAAGCCATTGAGCAGGTCATGACAGCCAGCTTGGTTCAGGCAAGGGTTGGAGGCACACTCATTGGTCTCCACCTCACAGAGTCTCCCTTCCAAGCCTGAGGACACAGACGTGGTGAGAAGGGGGCTCAGCCAGGCTTAGACAGCGGCTGCCGGGCTTTCTGCCTGGGATACCTGGGCTCTGCAGCAGCTCTCCTAGGACTTGTGGACTACCACTGTCCCCAGGTCTGTCCCCCAGGGCTGTCCCCAGTGCTGTCCCCCAGGTCTGTCCCCAGGGCTGTCTCCCAGGGCTGTCCCCAGTGCCGTCCCCAGGGCTGTCCCCAGGGCTGTCCCCAGGGCTGTCCCAAGGCTTAGCTGCTCTGGGGGTGTGACTGCTTCCCTCAGGTCTGAAGGCTCAGGGAGCAGGGTACCTGCAGAAGCTGAGAGGAACTGCTGTCTAAAGCCCTTTCTGTGTACCTAGCGGGTGGGGCTCTCCTGGTGGTCTGCCCAGCCTGAGATTCTCGAAGTACAGCGGAAAAGTGGGCATCTCTCTGGAGGATGATTTAGCCCTTGTGTACTAGCTAGGCCTCTGTGTCAAGGTAGCGGGAATCCTGGCAGGGATGTGGTGATGGTCGTGATTGTAGCGGCAGTGGTGTGGTCATTGTGGTAGTGCTGGTGATGATGGTGATGGTTGTGGTGCTGTTGGTGACGATGGTACTGATGGTCATGATGGTGGTTGTGGTGCTGTTGGTGACGATGGTACTGATGGTCATGATGGTGGTTGTGGTGCTGTTGGTGACTGATACGGGAGAATTGTCTGTATTCTGTCAATCATTTTAATAAAACGCTGATTGGCCAGGCAGGCAGTATAGGCGGGAAAGCCAGACAGGAAGTAGGGGTGGAGCAAAGAGACTGGGAGTATTCTGGAAGCAGAGCTCCCTCAGCATTCCTGTGCAGACCACGGAAGAGGCAACATGTAAGCTGTCACACTGAGAAAGGTAATGAGCCCATGTGGCTAACGTAGATAAGAATAATGGGGTAACATAAGTTATAAGAGCTAATAAGTAGCCTGACCTAATGAGCCAATCAGTTTATAACCTTATGGAGTCCTGTGTGTAATTTCTCTTTGGGATTTGCTGGCTGTTGGGGTACCGGGCGGGACGGAAACCCCAACAAGCCGGCCCTCATGTTACATATGGCGCCCAGACGTGGATAGGTGAGTCCACGGAAGGCCTGGGAGAGTTTGGGAAAGAATAGAGTGGGGTATGTTTTCTTGGTGGCAGCAGTTTTTCGGTTCTGCTCTGCTTGCTAGAGGCGGGCAAGTGCTCTCATCTAGGAGAGGCTTCTTGACTCAGCCTTGGCTGCAAAACCTTGCAGCTCATTGGGAGGTCCTGCCACGAAACACTTGGATGCTGTTGGTGGAGAGCTGAGCGCATGCTTTTCGGTCGTAGCAGGAAAAAAGCTGTGCTGTTTTGAAGTGCCGGCTTTCTGGGCTGTCCTGCCAGGACAAACTCTGACTCTTGCAGGCAGGCAGTCCGACTGAGTGTGGTCTGTGAGCAGAATGATGCAGCTTGCTTGCTAGCAAGGACCTTGAAACACGACAAGTTGTGGCAGTGAACACAGCTGTGGCTGGTATCTCAGCTATGAGTCTGGAAAGCTAAGGAATGAGCTGGATCTAGCTGTCAAAGCCACGGCTTCCCATATTGCTTTGTAAATTAAAGGCTCATGTGGTCAGAAAAAGAGAGATAAACAGTAAAGAGAGATTCAAAGATGAAGAAAACCTCTAAATGGTTTACAGTGTGTATATGCAGGCTAAAAGTTAAAGTTCTTAAAGTTAAAAGGAAAGAAAGAGAGTAGTTGGGTGTGGTGGTACACACCTTTAATCCCAATGCCTGGGAGGCAGAGGCATATTGACCTCTGTGACTTCAAGGGGTAGAGGTAGATTGACCTCTGTGACCTCAAGGTGTGGTAGTACACGCCTTTAATCCCAATGCCTGGGAGGCAGAGACAGATCTCTGTGAGTTCAAGGTGTGGTAGCATACACCTTTAATCCCAGCACTGGGGAGGCAGAGACAGGAGGATCTCTGTGAGTTCAAAGACAGCCTGGTCTACAGAGTTATTCCAGGACAAAGATATACAGAGAACCAGTCTCAAAAAGTAAAAGTAAAAATAAAAGAAATAGAGGTTAAAATAAAGCTACATAAAGATGGAAAATACACAGAGAATCTTGATACTGTATGCTATTATGCTCTCTTTGAATTGTTTGAATGCTAAGGAAGGAGCAACAGCTGCTAAAGGACTGTTGTTTATAGATACTGCTGAACTAACCCAAGATAGGTATTTTGAAAATACCTTGGCTTCAAAAATGAAGTCAAAAGGTTTGTTACTTTGGAGAAGAGATTTTGCTATTGTTTCCACAGAAAATGAGAGGTTGTGGATTCATTCTGAGTTAAGAAAAATCCAGTATGATCAAGGAAGGCCACCTGAGAAATCTCCGACAGGAACAGATGGCCCAGATGTCTGAGTTCTACATCCAGAACAGATTCAAGACTGCTGCCTGAGATGATTAAGACTCACAGGATACTCCAGT